TGCTAGCTTTCCAGTCTTTTTATTCTTGTATTCTATGTGCAAAGAAAACTGTGTTTAAGCTGAAATGGTAATTGCATGTGTGTTTTTGAGCTCAATGGATAAATTGTGACAAATTCCATTTAGTTTCTTGTTATTTTAAGCTCTTTTTATTGCACTGCTGCTCCCTGTGATGAATGGTGATCTGTGGTGCAAAGGGGCAAAAGTGAAGGAGCCACAGGATTCATAGTAGTGATGGGATTTCCGGCTCTTTTTAGAGATCCGGCTCTTTCAGCTCGGCTCACTAAAAAGAGCTCTTCAGGTTGTTTTGTTGCTTTAATTAATTTATCATTATCAATAAAATAAAATTATGCAGAAAAGGAATTACTAATGTAAAAAAAGTGGTTTTATTTATATATGTTTATATATGGCCCCGAGAGACAAAGCACGTACAAACTCCAAAACAGAGCTACCCAGATCAAAATGGGCCAAAAATCACACAGTGTGAGCCCGGCATTAGTGCTTCTTGTTATGGTATATACGAGTTAATCTTAGTAAAAATTCTTAGAAAAGAAAACAGGAAAATCACACTTAACTCCAAAACAGAGCTACCCAGATCACTTAAATTACACAATTGCAGAAAGAAAGCTTTATTTTGATGTTCACTTGGATTAAAATTTAAATTGCACTAGTGATACTTATGCTTGGGATTGTTGCCAACTGTCATTCTCTCATCCTGCCCAATAAATTGCAAACCAAAAAAGAACAATAGTATAACAACAACAAAAAAGCCCAACCTAAATGCAAGTGTGGAGTCGATGGAAGACCAGAGTCGTGGAGGATTTGGGACAGAAGGATAGCAGCAAGAGTGCAAGGAAAGGTTTACAAAAAGGAAGTGCGATCTGCTATGATGTATGATTTTGATACACTGGCACTAACAGAAAGCCAAGAGACAGAGCTGGAGGTGGAATAATTTAAGATGCGAAGTTTGAACAGGATTAGAAATGAGTATATCATAGGCAGTGTTGGGGAGTAACGGAATACATGTACCGCCGTTACGTATTTAAAATACAAAATATGAGTAACTGTATTCCGTTACAGTTACCGTTT